GGTGCTGTGGGGACTGCTCTAATAGGTGGGACAGAGGATTGGGTGAGTATATCTTTTTTTTTATTTTAGACCCAAGACCAACTGCAAGGGTTCATTTGTAATTTGGTCATACACATGAATGGTTAAAGTATGAGCTGCCTGAGATTGCCTGATTGTTGCCCATTCAAGGCGCACATTGTTTGAAATGTAAAGATTAAAGTGTTTGTACAGAGGGGACCGGGACCACTTCATGGACTTTGCCACAAGCCCAGTGACCTGTAGAACCAGCAGAACCGGAATATGGTCCCGCCTCCGATGAGCAGTGATATGCGTTGTGTTCACATTGAATTCTGGTAAAGTTAGAGCTTTGCCCCTCCCCCGTCACTGCTGTCATTTTCTCCGGATTATCTTCAGATTATGGAATCTTTGCAGGTTGAATGGTAATAGAGCGAGCAATAGTTACAAGGATATGGAAAAATGATCGTCTGTAGCGCGAGCTGGGGAATGTTGGAATTTCATTGCACTTCCCTCATGCGTTATTACTGCCAAATACTTGCGTAAACTTTACAGTATTGTGTTCCCTGTAATTGGAGCCCGTGGGGAGAGATGATGTGGGGGGAATATTACAGGCTTGTACGGATTTATTCTACACCTTGACTGTGAGCAATGTATTCTGTATGTAGCCGAGTGTCATACCTGTCTAGGGAGGTGTGCTAATGACCTGAGTCACTATCTTACAATTCCACCTACATATATTTCATCAACGTCCGGGCTGAATGTGGTGCACAGTATGAATAAAGTCCATCTAGTGTCACATGAAAAATCTCAAGCCATAACATACATGACCTAGCGGGCTATCTGTGACGGCACAGATAGACATGATGCCGAGTCTCCGCTGTTCATACATAAGGTGGAGTGAAGAGCCTGCAGTGTGTATACATTATAGTAACAGTGGTTAAACCTCTGTCAGGTTTTTATTGTTGTCTTTGTCTCTGTTGGTGGGATTCACTGGGATTGATTTACTAACCTTATAAACACGCCACGAACATGTATACACCTCTGTAGTGTGTTCCCTCCCAGCATGATCTATGGGTGGAATCTAGACACCTTTGTAGTGTGTTCCCTCCCAGCAGGTGTGTTGTGCATGAATTGCAAGGTGATGTTGTGTAAATTAGCTCTACGTTGTGTTGCTTGCGTTGATGAATGCAGGAATGTAAATGCATGAGCTAACCATTTGTGTCTAAACTGTGAAGCAGCGTTATATATGCGTCACGTGCATGATTTTCCCATATATGGCATTAGTGGAAATATGCTTTTAGAGACTTTTTGGTTGATAAATACGCTTTGCTGTGTGACAATCACACGCACCTAGTGCGTGCGTGTGTTTAGGTTAGTAAATCACCCCCACTATCTCTATCCCCGTCATCATTGGAACCAGGAGTGATAGTGAGGGAAATGGGGACACTCTTTCTGGTCCTAAGAGGGGGTTTCTTCTCACTTCCTGTTCTGTCTACAGGACAGGCAGTAAAGGAACAGTCTCTCCGATGGGATGTAGATGGCAGAACACAACCTGATGGGGTTGTAACCCTTTCCTGCTCTATGCAAACTGAAGAAAAAATGTTTGGATTAGATACACAGATACACTTGAAGATTTTTCCGTGCTATTAGAATGTAAAATGTTCAGTGTTATAGTGCCTGCATTGTCTGTTGTTCCCCGATGGTGTGCAGAGTTTGCTGTGCCCTGGCCATTGTCTGGAAAGTTGGTGGCCCTATAGCTGATGAGGCTGTGCAATGTCCTGGTCATTATCTGGAACGTTGGTGGCCCTATAGCTGATGAGGCTGTGCAATGTCCTGGTCATTATCTGGAATGTTGGTGGCCCTATAGCTGATGAGGCTGTGCCATGTCCTGGCCATTGTCTGGAAAGTTGGTGCTGTTCCATGTCCTGGTCATTGTCCGGAACGGTGGTGGCCCTTTAGCTAAAGGAGGCTGTGCCATGTCCTGGTCATTGTCTGGAACGTTGGTGACCCTATAGATGATGAGGCTGTGCCATGTCCTGGTCATTGTCTGGAACGTTGGAGGCCCTTTAGCTGAGGAGGCTGTGCCATGTCCTGGTCATTGTCCAGGAAGGGTGGTGGCACTATGTGTCCTGGTCATTGTCCAGGAAGGGTGGTGGCCCTTTAGCTGAGGAGGCTGTGCCATGTCCTGGTCATTGTCCAGGAAGGGTGGTGGCACTATGTGTCCTGGTCATTGTCCAGGAAGGGTGGTGGTCCTATAGCTAAGGAGGCTGTGCCATGTCCTCGTCATTGTCTGGAACGTTGGTGGTCCTTTAGCTAAGGAGGCTGTGCCATGTCCTCGTCATTGTCTGGAACGTTGGTGGTCCTTTAGCTAAGGAGGCTGTGCCATGTCCTGGTCATTGTCTG